GGGTACCGCAAATAAAGACAGATTTCCAAAAGGTTATCATCAATGATAAAAACGGTCACATAATAAGTGAAATTTAAAGTTTTTGAAAGAAATTAATACATTTAAATGCATTATTATCTCATAAAATTCAAAAATATTTATAGAATTCTTCTTTTATTTAATAATTAGTATTTGTTAATAACCATTAACCATTATTGCATGAGAAGATTATTTTTTATAAGATCAATACTTTCAAAGGAAACCAAAGGAGTTTCATTTGGCTATAATGAACTCGGATGTAACACTGATTTTGATAATATTCTGATTTGTAACAAATCTTCAGAAATCCCAAGCAAATGTCACATTTAACTGCCAGGCAACTAATTAGACTCTTATAAAGTTTACAACTAATTTTCCAAATACTTCCTTAGATAATGATTTGTGTTTCAGATAGTTTTTATGACTTATTATTGCATAATAATGTAACTATAGTAGCTACCATAGCGTGCAATATGCAGTCGTGTAGGTATAATTGTTGAGACCTAAATTTTAACCGAGCAAGATAACTGTGCAGAACTTTGTCACATAATAAAATCTATCTACCCACAAACCTACTACTTCTAATAGACATTTCCCACAGGTAATATGAAAAGCCACACTCTACACTTACCTTAATACGTATCACCTAAACAATTATTACTGTATCGTAAATGTCAATAACCGAATGATTTAGTATCATTTTCATTTCAAACATGTGACCTTTAAAACGGTTTATTAACAAAACCAACGTAAAGAAGCAGCTAATACAACTCGCATAATTTTCTATTAACGACAAAAAGAAAAAGAAATTCTGACTTTTACTACAACAATATGGCCATAAACGGAATGCTGTAGATACTATTCATTTCCATTAGTCAATGATGCATCCGAAATGACTTTAATGTACTGGCTGTGAATGGCTTAGCACCGTCTTTATAATAACACACTACTTTTTAAGTATAATTAAGAAGAAGATTGCAGCAAGTTGTAAAACATTTATTACTATTTCAGTTAAGCCCGCATGGGATTGATAATGAAGTCTAAATATCTTCAGTGTAATATCCATCCTGTATCATCAGCACTAGTCCAGAGTCGTATCACTTTGAAATAGTACAGTTAGCAGTAAATAGAAGTAGATGGCGATATATTGGCAATTACTTGATATTTATGACGGTTTTCGGTACTTATATAGTAGAACTAAGTAGTGAACCCACCAAGATTAAGTAATTTTTACAACTATTGTAGTATTCGCACAATGACTTTGAACTTTTTTTAAAAAGATGAGAGCTTTGTCTCTTAATTAATATTGTGTTCTGGATTAAAATTAAATTACAACGAATAGCCATTTGGAAACAACTGGAAATTACTTAAACTTTTGATTTAGTTATTATACGCTTTTTTATTGAGACGAACCCTTGTATACGTACAATAGATAATGACCTTTTCTTTTATTAGTTTCTTCCTATCACAATATGATTCGGATAAGTATGACATTATTTACACATCATTAAATGCATAATTACCTGTGGTAGTAAAAGATATTACATCACCCATTATACAGCTACAAAATTATCATAGTTAGGCCTTGTGTCCTTGCTTTGTTGTATTCAACTGTTTTTACATTCGCGAGCTTCTTTAATCTATTTGTTACCAGCAAACTGAATGTAATATAATTTCATAAATATAATGGTAGCATAAGAATATGTTTCACCTATTAGAAATGCCTGAATCTAAACACTCCGGAATTCAAACTACTACATCTTTTAGTACGTCAAGAATTAAGTTTGTTTCACCAAGTATTTGTAAGATTATTGATGTAAATCATTATAACAGAAGGACACTGCTTCAAATATTGAAAATCTAACATTTTAAAGAAACTTTAAATTTTACGTTTCGAAATGAAGAAGAAGTAAACTGGTTAATATTTTAGAACAAACAGCATAGCTCAAAACCCCAAAGCCAAAACACGACACTGTAGTTGTCCGAAGCACTTTTCGGTAACAAAGTTACCTTCTTCAGGGACTGAAGTAAACTGTTTGCTTTTTCTTTTACTTCAGTCCCTGAAGAAGGTAACTTTGTTACCGAAAAATGCTTCGGACAACTACAGTGTCGTGTTTTGGCGTTGGAGTTTTGAGCTATTCTGTTTGTTCTACAACAACCGCAAAAGTTTTTCAAATCTTCATATTTGGTTAATATTTGTAAAAATAGTAAATTTAAAATTAGTTCCTAAAACTTTAAAAATGTTACATAAACACAAAATTCGACAAATAATTCGAATAATAAATAAATGATTGGTAACTTCCGATTTAAAAATGAAAATATAAGCTGTTCAAATGTAAATACTCTCATCAAAAATTCTGTATGGCACCTGATGGCATTGCGTTAAAATTACACATCATATTCAAAAGTATGCGTGCCTGTATGTATTTTTGTATATTATCAGCATTACATGCATTAGTTATTGTTTGGTTTTAATGTTTACTGAGTACATTTGTTCATGCAATAATGCCCAGCGGAGTGCTTCATAAACATGAAAATAAAATTGGCAAAATGGGATGCTTCGCTTTCGTCCTGACAGTAAAAAATTATATATTGATATGCACAATATCAAATATTATACGTACTGATAGTGTGATGACCTAGGGTTAAAACATTATTTACATTGCAAATATGCTAGAAGTCCTTGCCTGTATAAAGACAAATATGTAAATAGTCCTGCCAGTTACTAGGTCTTTAGTGAGAGAATTTAAATACAATGAAGATTATATTTGGCGTTTCAAGAAATTAATAACTGTTTCCCTAATTTCCTGTTAAAAATAATAAGAAAAGTTAGAAAGAAACACTTACTCAACAAACATTTAGTTAGCAAGAGGCCATTCTAGCTTTACGGTTAACAATAGAGAAAACGATAGAAAAAGGAAAGAGTGCCTATATAGGATTTGTAGATTTAGAGAAAGCTTTTGACAATGTTAAATGGGACAAGATGTTAAATATACTTAAAAATGTAGGGATGAGTTACAAAGATAGAAGAGTGATACTTAGTTTGTATAAAGAGCAACAGGCAGTTATAGAGCTAGGGATGCAACGTAGAGAAGTAA